CTACTTTATACATGTCAAACTGAATCATTTAAAAATCTTTATTCGCTAGGCTTTGAAGAAGCAACTCAAGAAAAGAGCTTCTTTAATTCAAAAAACGATGAGGAGGCGGATAAGCGAAGTGACAAAGAAGATGGAACAACTTGAACAGAAAAACAAAGAACTTCGAGAATACGCTTCACGATTATTTGCCACTCTTCAGGATGTAATTCAGCGACAAAAAACAGAAGTTGTTAGGGCTCAGGTTTCTATATAATCGTCAGGATTGTCTATCATCTAAATCGTCTCAAACTGTTTTCAGGCGATTGAGACGGTCATATGGAAACACCTCTAATGCAATACGGAACGATCCGTACGATTGGAACGATCTCAATCACCTATTTAGGCCACTGAGACATATGGGGGATAATTGGCACGATTGGGCGATCACAATAGGCCAGTTGTATGCTAAGCAGCCTAAACCTTTGAGTGTAAGCGAGGTTTGGCTGTGACTTTATTTTGATAGAAACCTTAGTGTTGTCATATGCCTGATAATAGCATGATTTACAAGGTCACTACCACCCTTGCTTCAACTGGCTAAAGGCCATGATTACTTAGTACCCAATTGTAAATTGGTCTATTGCCTGAATAAACGGAAGACGTCTGGAATCGTCCCGATTGTCTTGGACCTCCCGTTTGAAGTCCAACGGAAAAAACTTTAAGCAGATTGAAAAAAATCCTTTTCTCCTTCCCCTTATTAGAAAACTCATCAGATGGTCAGTTTTGGAACACAAGTGAATATGTCATCGCTATGGTAATTTAATAATTCAATATTAACTCTAAGGTGAATAAAGAGCTTATACAGAAAATAGACAAGGGAAAATTTCAGCACATTTTGCATTTTTTTGTTTTACCAAAATGCGCACAGATTTCCGGGCAATGTTCCGGGGCACCCCACGTCAGTTTTCGGAAAATATCTGTTCGGAAGACGATTTGAGGTCTAGAATTTTCGGAACATTTGTTGTAAAATTTCTTGCTTGCCTGCCTCTCCTAGGATTTTCGAACATCTGAAAAATGGTATAATTGCCCATTTTTAACGGATTTTTACCCTAAAAAGGTCACCTAGGATTTTCGGGAGCCTTTTTTCCGGCTGAAATTTTCGAAAAGGCAAGTTTTGATCCCTATAATTTTCGGATCACTAGACTTTCAGCTAGGAAATCCGAACAAATGAAAATTTTAGGGGATAAAAATATGCCTATATCTACCGTTTAAATCAGTGCTAACTGAAAATACGTTTAACAATGCTATGTTTAAGTGGTTTTGAACTAGTTGGGTGCCCCTAAATGTTTCATTGAATTGTAGGGAAGCACATAACAATCCAAAAACGATTGTCGACCAATTCAAAAACTAAGCTTCCATTTTAAGTCTCTTGAACGTTAACAGGCTGAAAGAAAATGCTCATAAAATCAATTCGATGGCTTTTGTCAACTCTCTACAACCATAATTTTTTTCGTCCGTCGTTTGGGTATTTAGCGATGCCTAATAACTTCTTTTTTGAAATTAACTTTTTGTTTTTCTTTGTTTAAGGAAAATGATCAAATAATATCACGTGGTACTCAAGTCAACATGAGAGTGGTAAGTTTTTATGGGAAGAAATTGTTACAAATGCCTATAATTATCAAAACTCCCACTCTCCGTCAACAAAATAAAAACTCATTAAAAATACTGAAGTTCAAATGAGGCCTGTCATTACTGTTGTATGTACAAGTTAAAAATCCAAGCTTTCGCCGGTCAACGACATCATCAGGAAAAAAGACTGTTTTACCAACTTAAATATAAAATATCCAAAAGTATTCTAAAATAGGGATTTGTTTTCATAATGTGGGAGGTTGGTGATTATTGCTTTGCTAACCGCCATGAGAGAAACCCAATGTGTAACACTGCTTGGTCAAAGAAATCAACAAGGAAATTAAACATTCTCAGACTTATCTTCTAAGTACGTCAGCCTACGGAAAGTTTTATAAATTTGTTATACCTTGTGTTAAAACTTAAGATAATCCACCTGAACAAGCATGTTTGTTTTCCATTTTTGAACTCAAGGGTCAAGTTTTTTTTTGCGTGATGCGTTATAGGCTTTTGCGATGTCTAGAACTTGTCTTTCTCTTCAGCGAAGAAGAAGGCGGATGAGGTATTATCATTTATTGCCTTGGACGTATACTCTTGAGACTTCTATTTGGATTTCTCCATGGATTACGTCCCAATGAAAATGCCCATGCTGACATTGTTGTTATTTTTTATCTCTTGTCAGGTTTTGAAGCCTGTTATGCCCAGCAATAGTGGAACTGTTCAAAGATTTCATAATTTAGTTTAGTTGTACCAGGATGGATCAGCCGATCACATGGAATACATACCAACCTTCAGAGGCGCTTCTGCGAAGAGAGCGTATTATGACCATCTTCATTCACTAGATGTAACCTCTAACCTTTTGAGTAGTAGAGGAAGTATTCCTCACCATCACCACCACCATCCAGGTGAATCAGATTTAGTGGATGTATCCTGCAGTTGTTTGCCTGACCAAGGTTGTGAACTACAACGAAATACTGCACAAATTCACGAAATGAATATGTTTTCCAGAGATCAATCTCATCGAAGAAGTGATAGATGCAAGAATTTTGTGAAATCGCAAGCACCAATCACTCCGTTTAGAGAAAAATGTAGCTCATTCAGTTCAAGACAGCCTGGTCAGATGCAACAGGAATCATATTTATCGAGAAAATCCCGTAATCAATTACGCAAATCATTTAAACGAGTCACATCAGGGGAATCCAAAGTCACCAATACTTCTTCTTTTCAAATGTCACGTTCAGGGAATGGTTTACAAACTAAGCCACGTACGGAGCATGGTCATAGAAACCAATTTTTACCAAGAAAGTCGCAGCTACTAAATCCTTCTTCGATTTTTGGTATTGGGCAAGAGCAGATTGGCTTGTTTGCAGAAAACAAACAAGAAAAATGTCAATTAACTAATAAGTTTCCTTTAAATGGCGTAAACGCTACAAAACAATCACAGTTTTCTGAAACGAGACAAAACCTTCATAACCGGATTTCGTTACCTGAAACGCAGTTAACAATCACTCTCCCCAACCCACTATTGGAACAGGAAATGACTTCCTGTCATGGAGGTACCGCTGACCTACATACTTCCTCCCGCTATTCTCCGTCTTCTTCTTTGGGAAGAAGCGTTCGATCGCAGAATGGGATATCGACATCTTCAAATGAACCAGTTGAAAACTTTCCTCTTCCCAGTGAGCTAACATGAAGAAAAATAAGGACTTTAATAACAAATCAGATCTTGTCGGAGTCCGTGGAACAAGGGAACAGCTGCAGTTCTATTCCCCCGCAGTTAACACCACGCCGTGGACGTTACCCATTGAAAATTTCTCGAGCGGAAGTAAATCCGAACACCACAGTGGATGTATCTGCAGTTCATTCATATTCAGAAGCAAACTTGCCCAGAAAAGGTCTACATCAAACTGACTGGTTTGAAAACCTTAACTTTTGGTGACTTAAAGCCACCTGTTGAGGTTATTTGAGGTCACTAGGCGATTTAAGGCGACGCTAGGCAGTGTAGGCAACGTTAAGTAAAATTGCCTGCAACAAAGGCTTGCAAAGTACAGTTGAACCTATTAGAAGTACATATGAACACATTTATTTTAATGCCTAAAATTGGGACTAGAAGTGCTTTTGTGACAGGTTTCACATGTCTCGATGGGGTTAGGGGGACCACTCTCTTATTTTGCCCTAAACGGGGACATGTGGTTGAACTCAGGCTGTAACTGTTTACAGTCCCCTTAATTTTTCTAACCTGCAGCCGCCTTGGTTTCAAACATCATATTTATCTAGCGGGCGGGGCACTGGTTGGGAGGAGGCAATTTTTCTTGCCTCCCTCCTCCCACAGCACTGCTATAAACCTCGACGCCCGCCCCTTCGGTACATATGAAACCAAGTTGGCCGCCTGTTACACTAAATCTCGACGATGTTACGGGAAAAAAGGGAACTGTGAACAGTGTGACACATTTCATGCATAGAGTTTTAAATAGGGCGCCTGTGTATGATTTTTCAGAGATAAAGAGAGACCGAGTAACAAGATGTTGAGACAGATTATATTTGTGACAGAAAACGCCTATTGGAAATTGTATGCGTAACTTTGTGTATTATTATTTTTTAAATTTAGTGACTTACTGTTGGAAAATCAAAGAAAATGTATCCCTTCTAATCAACAGGGTTTTAAATTTGTGTCGTACAAGTTTACAAGAAGATCCTTTTGTCCTAAACAGGGGCAAAAGTGAAAAGAAGATTCTGTGTTTTATATCAAGGTCAAGATTAGGACGCCGCATTTGCTACAGCACCTTTATCAAGCTTACGTTACTTAAGTGCCCCCTCTCTTTTCCCCCTAGGGAATACATCTATCTTAATAATGAGATCATGTGCTATAAACTGTATCCTCTTACTTTAAATGATAGTCTAAAGTATGCATTTACCAAAGATGGCAAAGAAGCTACCGTATAGACAGAGAAAAGTGACGACTCACAAAATCTCAAATTTGTGAAATTTAGGAATTGGGTGGCATATTCAGAAAGTACGAGATGAAAAAGGTCCCCTTGCCAAAAATCAGTCTGTTAGTGCAAATTGAACTGTAGATAAGTACAAATCCCACTAAAATTGGCTTGGATCGAAACGTTTACAATCCAGGCCTATTTAGAAGGATTTATATGGAGTAATTGGAGCGTAATAATGCTTATTACATACATCTCGATGAAATACAGAATTTCTACTGTTTCTAAAATATGATCTTTTCACCTACCTCAGTGAACGTATCAATTTTATCTTTCACGTATGAAGATATTGGTGTTGTCATAGTTACCATCAAATCCACTAATCATCATATATTTATCTCTTCGTGCGCTCGTAGCCCTCAGTGTCGTGAGTGGCTAAGTGGCCGTTTTAGTTCTTTCTGAATTAAAGTGGCAGGATTAGGAGACACGGAATTTGTCTTTCCCGATGAATTGCCGAATTTTAATCTTGATATTTTCCATGGAAGAGAAGAAACAAAAGAAAGAGGAAGATTTCGCACTTTCACTGAAAGTGACGTTGAAAATTTAATTGCAGGAGAAGAGAATGCGAACACCAAAAAAAACGCTTTCTTTTTTTTTTTCCTGGTGGGTTCTTAGACCCACTACGACTTGAAAATAGTCAAGGCCTTCTTAATGGAAGAACGCAACGAGACCAGAGAAACCGAGGAAACACCGTCAAATGAACTCGATGGCAACCTGAGTCAGTTTGTTTTGGCTGCAAGAACCAAGCCAAGAAAAGAATGCAAGCCATCATCTCTTCGCGGGATTTTGTCTAGTCACGGACGCCGTTTGAGTCGCGCCAATTATGGCCAATGCATCCGACTGAGAGCCACAACAGCTCTTACTGATGAAGAGACTGACATCTTATTTGACAAGCAGTTGCTTGGAGTAAGAAGTTCACCGCACTAAAAGCTTTGCTGAAAACTGTTTGGCTTAACAATATGACTCATTTTGGTCTGCAAGGTTGTAAAGAACAAAGAAAACTTCGGTGCGGAGACGTTGTCATTAACAAAGACATCGACGATAAAGAACATCTTGAGTATTTTGAACCCCAAACAAAGACAAGAACGGGAGAAGATCCGCGAAATCAGCGACAGATTAAGCCTATACATTTTGACTGTGAGCCTTGATTTTCTAAACTGTTATGATATTGAAGTGATTGTTGAACATTTACTAACGTGCATTTCACTTTTGTCATTAACTCTTGATCTCATGTATGAATCACTTTTATAAAAAAAAATCTATAAAAAAAACATATTCAGACTAAATTTGACCACTTTTTATTGTAATGATATTTTCATGTTTCTTTGATACTTTAAAATTATACATTCGGCTTTAACGTGCTGTGCTGTTTTTGGATGTTAGCTATTCGCTTCTTTGATTACGGTTGAACTTATTTGAAAGAGCTAAAATCTGTGAATTTGGCCACTCACCTACAATTGTGAAAAAAGTAAAATTCACGCTGGTAAATGTTCAACAATCAATTCAATGTCGTAACATTTAAAAAAGACTCACAGTCAAAATGTATAGGCTTAATCTGTCGCTGATTTCGCGGATCTTCTCCCGTTCTTGTCTTTGTTTGCCGTTCAAAGTACTCAAGACATTCTTTACCGTCGATGTCTTTGTTAATGACGACGTCTCACCACCGAAGTTCTCTTTGCTCATTCGAAGAAAAATTTTGTATCTTCGCGCGGCCATGTAATATCCTCTATTTATATCTCGCCACCAATTTGCACTGACAGCCTGATTTTTTGGCAAGTGAACATTTTTAATCTTGTTTTCTCTGGATATGCCAAACTATCCCATAATTCACACATTTAATTTTTGTGACCTCATTACTTCTCTTCTCTATTATGCTGTACATTAGACTGTTTAATTCAAGTGCACCTAATTAATACCTGTCCTAATTTTGCAAACACTCTCGAGTGATGTCTTTGTCTTATCCTTTAAGATACGAACTCACCTCTTCTTAGAACAATTTTATACTTCATTGAACAGTATCATCCACTCTTACTGAAACCGACTTTATGACAGTAAAGTATTTTAGGTCCTTAGCGCTCGCAGGTTGTGCTAAGGTCGTCTCCTATAGAGGCTTATTAACCTATACGTAAAAGATATAAATATAGTGCAGGACTTTCAGATTCGCAGAAAAGCCAGCCTAACCGCTCTGAACTACACCTATGTTCATGTAGCCAGCAAACTAGGTTTATTCTTTATGGTGTCCTTTATTGCTATCTTCCGTTAAAGATGTTTGAGTGGTCTTAAGTTCTGTTTTAGATTCGGTCTTTAGATTATGCCCTCCTAATTTTCCTTCAGGGATCTGTTTACTTTGTGGAGTGTTTTCACAGTCTAATAAGTTCGACCGCCCTTCTTGAAAAGTTTGCGTTCTTTGCCGCGGATTGGTAAATTTTAGATGATGAAAAATCAGTCGACGAGGTCTGTGTTGCTGAAGGGCATGGTTGTCTTTTTTTACACCCTGGGATGACGATGACCGGGGATTCTTTTTCAGCTGATCGTTTTGGACTTCAAGCTGTCGTTTTAGAGAGCCTTTCTGAAATGTATGCTGTTGGCAATTATCATTTTCGTTTTTCATTCCTGAGTTAAGCGAGAGTAATCGAACTTGAGCAAATTTTCTTAGATGATTAAGGTATCGCTGACATAATGGCGACATTTCTACCTGTGGTTTAGCAGACCCATTTGGTTGGGAAGACGTACTTCGTAAGGGGTGCTTAGGAGGTCGATGATCCTTTTCATCGTCTTTCCCGACTCGTGAAGAAGGATAATCAGATAACGAATTGCAATTGAAACTTAACGATTCCCCAGCCGTTTTGTTATTATCGCGGAGAGAGGTCGGTGAACTTGCATCATACAAATCACTGTTACTCGTTCCAGGGTCTTTACTGGGTAAATCAACCCTACTTTTGATGGGCTGGACAGAACACAACCCTCTCTGTGGGGAACCACTTGTAGCTGTGGGGCTATGAGAAAATTGTGATAGTCCTTGACTAAGATAGGGAGGGTTTAGCGAATTCATCGAACGGGAGTGGAGATTAGAATTCAATAGAGCATACGAGTCAAAACCATTTTGATGTAATGCTGGTTCAGGGAAACGAAAACATTTTGGTGACATGTTCTGGTGCATACTCTCAGGCTGTTGCTTTGGAGATAGCTCTGGGTCAGGATGTAGAGGTACTTCAAATGGTGATGGTGACTTATTCGTCTTTGGTGATCTCCTGTGATACATTCCATAAACACCATGAGTGTTTGACCTGACTGACGGCTGGTGGGATTCCTTTCCTTTCACCCTGATACTTGGATAAGGTTGATATCTTGGCTGGCTGATGACTATGTTTGGCATTATGGCTGGTCTTGGTTTGTATTGCTTACCATCCTCTTTATCTCGGTACATTCTTGCAAGTGAGACAAAGTCGCCATTCTCCAATGTCCTGCTATGCCGATGGGGCATCATTTGACCCTCCCCTGGGGAAACTGGACCGAAACGTGACTCGCAACTAGAAACATTCTCCTTCCGGAATGTCTGGTCATCTATTATCTTTTGTGAATTAAAAACAGAAATATTGTTGAAAGGGACTTCAGGTTTTTTGCCAGAAGTTTGGTGTGTTTGCTTTCCGTCAATATTCTGTGTGGAGTGCAGAATTGCTACTGGATTTTCAAATCCTTGTCCTTCATACGCATGGTAAGGAGTTTTTAAGTCAGACAAAGAGGTTGAGCTTCCAGCTGTTGCTGTTGGTGGGGAATACTGAGCTTGCAAGGAGGACGGAGGTTCGTAAGGAGTCATTCTATTGTCACCGATGTTTATCTTTTTCACTCTTGATCCATCCAGGTTCATTTGCCTTTTCTCAGTTCTTTCATAAGGAATTAGTTTTCCTGACAACTGGGAAGTTTGAGTTGAGGTGGATCTCAAGGGACAAAGCTTTTGTGTAGAGGCTTTCGGTCCTAATCCTGCCATTTCAGATGGCGAAAATATACAGTTTCTTTGGCCTGTGGATTGGCCTCTTGTGACAGTGGAAGGGCTCACAACCGATAGACATCCCGATGTTTTAGGAGCGCTGTAATCTGTTCTTGAATGCTGTGACGGAAAACTGTCAAATGGCCGAGAAACCGCTATCATGAATTGTGATTCAGAGTGAACTACATGCGACTGCGCCTCGTTTTCAAGCGCTGAGGTAACAAGAAAAGAATGTTCCAATGATTTTCTGCTTTTACTGATATCTTTAACTGTGTCATGTTTTCTGGAATGGCTCTCATATGTTGCCGAGATCCAGGACTTGGTTAGTGTTTCACAATTAGAATTTGCCACATCGCATCTCGTCTCCCTATTAAACACGTTGTAGTTATAAGATGCTGCTGCCCTTTCAACATATGGTGTGCCTCTTTTGAAGTCTTCGTTTAAAACGCCAGGTTGAGAGCTTTGTTGATGAAGAGATGTAGTCCAAACGGTTTCTGGCCTTTTACTGTTAGCCAACGGTGAGCCTTCAGCTGTACTTTCTGGAGACAGGTGACTTATATTGGATCCTCTCGATGCATCAGGGCTACATAACGTTTTGACCTTTTCTTCCATAGCCGTAAAACTTTCTGGTAAGATTTGCTGTAAAACTTGGTTAAGGACCGTTACAGGGTTTCTTTTCAAGTTCCCTTTGTTATCGTTATGTGTGGATGAAGTAGCCACACTGTAGGGATTTTTCATAGGTGATAAAAGGCTTCCACTTCCATTGTCTAATGATGGCCTCTTTGTGTGGCAATATGGAGTTTGAGACATTAATGGCACGTATTTTGATAAATAAACAGATCCATTTTTGGTGCCTGAGCCTGTACAAACCAAACTTTCTTTCCCTTGAGGATCTTTTTGATCTACTGAGGTCGTGCAGTGAGATACACTTCTGTGAGGTGAGAAGCTCAATGTTGGATGTGTCTTGCTGACAGAAAACAAAGGCTTGTTGCTGGTAATGGACAAGGCTCCAACCGTAATGGCAGGGATAGGAAGAGGTTTTTCGGATGGTATTAGTCTCATTGTTTGAACATCCACTGCATGAATTTGTGGCTCTGTTTGTACTGTGCGAGACGTTACGTTTCCTCTTGATAGTTCCTTTGAAATTGTAGTAATTAACGATGAGTATTAAAGAGTATAATAAACTGACATCTCATACGCTACGTCATGTTAAAAATACGTGTCTACAATTATCCTTGTTCTTGTATTTTTAAACAACCGAGGAAGAATACATGTTGTGTTAGCATTTGAATTATTAGGTTCTGGGAAAGTTATTCTGTGATATAGTCCAAAGATTCTTGGGTTTATGGCAATATAATCCAGTGGGGTATCTCAAGACAGACGAAAAACAATGGGTTTTATAAGGGCGTTGTTTCAGAGCCACCTGTGCCAATCTTCCTTTAAATAAATAAAATAAATAAAAAAATAATGATTTGGAGGTAGCACATCCACAGTGTGGTTCTTCGTCTACCTGATTCCTGGTCGAATTTGAATTTGGAAAACGGGAGTACCCGGAGAAAAACCTCTCGGGGCAAAGGAGAGAACCAACAACAAACTCAACCCACATATGGCGCTGAAACTGGGATTTGAACCTGGACCACATTGGTAGCCTGCGAAAACATCCGTTTCTCCTCGCTCTTCGCCGCTGGGAACGTTTCGCAAGGAGAAACGTCTGCGACTCGGGAGTAGAAATTCCATATTGATGACGCAAATCAATGTTTACATAATAAATCCGGTAGTCATGGGGCTCCAAATATATTTGTGTCCAATTTTCTAAATTTTACGTGTCTTCTGGTCGATTTTAGTAAAGTGTTGTGTTCAGCGAAACTCAAATGCTTCCTCTAGAGAACACTATATTCTACAAATATTGACTGTTCGGTTAGAGATTCTTCCCGTTTACGTGTGACCTTTGTGGCCTTTTGTCTTTTTTCTGTCATTCGTAAACAATAGCTAAAACAATGTAACTACTCCGTCGACCAATCAGTGCTTCTGATGGATTTCGGACAGGTTTTACGTCATCAGTATGGAAATTCCAAGAGCGAGGAGAAACGGATGTTTTCGCAGGCTACTGCACCATCCCTTACTCCTCAAACCAACATAACCGACGTCGTGAACTATCCTTTATATAGCGGTGTCCTTTTTAGATTTAATATATGTGCATATCAGACATTCTAACCTTATTCTGTTGGTTTTTTAGTCCCTTCACGGCGCTGTATAGCGTCTTTACTTTCTGCTTTAAGTTGCGATTTTCTGTTTCTAGGGTGAAAACTCGAGCCTGGAGCTTTTCGGCTTCAGCAAGCGTCTCTCTCGTGCGGTCTTTTATGATTTTTTTAATTTCCTATTAAAAATGAAGACAAGAAGAATGTTAATATAACCTGCTATCAATGACCACGTCTCCAAGTGTTATGCGTATTTGGTTTCAGGAAAGAAACTTAGATTTCCTAGGAGCCGATAAACGACGAAGTCACTCCTTGTAACTAAACATCAATAATCTCAAATAGCCAAAGGTGATCTACTTATTGCTCGAGTTTAACGCGTTCTCTTTAGCATGATCATTTATGGATATTACCCCCCCCCACCCCTCCCTTTGCATGGGACGCATCACAAAATTACCTCCAGGTTTATATACTTCCTGTATTCATTAATGTAACTGAAGGAGTATCAGGAGTAAATTTGTTATCAAAAGAAGCAACGCAACAAGGGCAGCTTTTTCGACCTTGCGATTTGGCGTCTGATCAAGGTTTTCCCTCATTATCCTTTTAAGGCGCTGAACTGTTGAATGAAATGCTTGGTCTCAATCCCGGGCAAGACCTAGAGCAAGTTGGTAAGATTAGGTTGGCAATGTAATTCTATATCTCTTAAAGGGGCTACGTAACACGACATTTCCTCATTTTTAAAAACGTTAGAACTGGTCTTCATATCAATCAAATTCCAAAAATAATGTTTCAGTTTTGTCATTTAGGACTATATTTAGGCATTGAAAGGGTTTCCTGTTGTCTGGTGTAACGGATGGCAAGGATGGACATGGATTGAAACTTGAAAAAGTTGGGCCAACCTTTTCGTGTTTTAATGCCCTGCCTGGAAAAATCACCAAAAACATTTTTATGGTTTGTGCTGCATGGTGATATTTGTTTGAAGTCTACTCTATTTGCGTATTTTGTGTATGGTAAAGGTACTAAGTAATGCCCTCAGCACAGAATTGAACTCAATCAGCAACATCCTCAACACATAGCCCCTTTAAGTGATTGGAGTTGTAGTTAGTGTAAGGTGTTTAAGGTTTGGCCTTGGTCGTTGTTGGATGCTCTTATACTAGTTCTTTCATTTTAGACGTATTGATTGCAGGGCAGCAATCTGAGCCCACAAGCAGCCTGGAAAAGTGGCCACACAAAGTAATGTAAATAATGCTCGAAATGTAACTTAGGGTAGACTTTGAATTCGAGATACTTACCCCACGGATGCGGTCCTTACTTGACAGAGTAAACTCCGAATGATTTAGCTGTGAAGTTACTTGACTTGCTGGAGTGTATCCATTGCTCGTTTCTGATGTATTAAGTCAATAATGCAGAGGGGTTTTAGTTGAGATTTGAAATCAATTTTACTTCAGTCGCTTGCAATGCTACGCTTTCTAATTAGCCCAAAATAACCATAACATGCCAATTGAAACTAAACCAATTGAATCTAAAATAAATAATGACTTGCTCGAGAGAAATTTCCCCCGGTCTTTTGGTCAGGCAAGGTAGTAATTTTTTCAGTTTTTACAGCTGCCTGCAGACGTTATACGTTCAATAGGTCATTTGCACAATGACATTATTTTACTAATACGACCAGAATCCTTCAGCGTTTTGCTTTCCTGTCAAATTAGGGCTTTTGTTATTCAAAGGGATTCTGGTCGTAGTAGTAAATTGACGCCATCGTGAAAATGGCCTATTTAAATCCTTTGTATTTCCTGGGAATTTGTGTGTTCTATTGTATAGATTGTTGATTTGTCCCCAGTGTTATTTTGTTACTTTCACAATGCAATTTCACGTTGTGTTACATTACGTTTTGATATTATGTTATTCAACGTCAGGTTAGGCTACCTTACATTTTCATGCTTACCTATACCCCGAATGCTGTTACAATTTTATGTCATATTATTACTGGGCTGGCCACCATATTCTCACAGAAAAACATCAAAGACCTTATATTTCACGATACGCGCGCTAAGCACGCGTCATGCACGATTTTGTCTGCTACCACCAGCTAATGTATGTAAAATTGTTTTATCCTCACCATTAGAGCTTACAGGTAACTTGCCAGTGACGTCTTGAGATAACCCGTATGTAGGACAATTTGCTAAGGGTACGTTCGCCTTTGATGTGGTCTCTTTGTCTGCAGCGTTTATGGCAAAACCTGGAAGTTCTTTTTTGACCTCAGTTGAAGAGGTCTGGCTTTTTATGAATGCTTCCAAATGCATAGCACTTCGTTCAAAACTCTTCAATCCTTCTGGTTCCTTTTGATTTAGACTGTCAACAATACGTCGATACAATATGGCGATTTCAGGTCGAACTTGCTTTGGATTCCAATTCATTTCCTTATGAGGAATTATTTTACTGCAATGTTCCACTCTTTCCGCGTTGTCTTTTTTGCCCACTTGAGAACCATTCGGTTCATTTTTTCCTGTTAGAAAACAGCGAACCATAAATGCATAGGCAAGAGAAAACGAAATGAAACGACGATTGCTATATTTCTAAGTTCTCACCGTGACCCTCGTGAAATGTCTCAAAACTAGGCTTGTAAGACTGAAGCTGAGTGGATATTGATCAACATTTGTTACTTATTCTTGAGGAGGGAAAGTATTAGTTCTTATATGGTCTCCACAACTGCAGTGAGACACTGTATATATGGGTATTTCCGACGAGATCGAAGTGGCAACTATCGCTGTTGATGAAAGGACGATTTCCGTCGTCGTCGCCGTGATTGCTTGCGCTCCCTAGTTGTGTTACCATGCAAAACACTTTTTGATATGTGACGATTTCGTTGAAAAACCGACGATTTGTTAGAAAACGATGTCCGCAGACACCCATAGAGAGCCTCTAAAATAGGATCCCAAGTTTCCAAACCACCTTGGGAAAAGCAAATTGGCTAGAACTATCGGGAGGATTGATAAATCGGTTGTAGAATAACAGTGTTTCATTGGTAGAAGGAAGTAAAATCGGTATTCTACAGTAACAAATATAAAAAGTGGTACTGGCGGGCGTATAAATTAACTTTTTCCAAATCAGTGTATGCGATACTTACCATCAGGATCTGTGTCTGGGTTATCCAGCTTTCTGTTAACGAACGGCAAAAAGAAAATTGAGAAAGCCAATTTTTTAAACAATATATATTATTCTTAACTCTCACAAATTATAAAAGTGTCAGTTCAAAGTGTCAGTTATTCCGATTTGAAGTCAACTTCCCTTTTCATTGGCAGTCCAACAAATATCGCGTTCATTTCTATTAGAAGGATAATAATCATCTTATCACCGTTGGTCAAAGCCCGCTGTTACCGATGTCCTCCACTGATTTAGGTTATTTTCTTCTTTTCTTCATTTCAATCAGTGAATGCTGCATCAACTGAGATTCTTCGTTGCACGCCTTATGTCGCCCGATTTACGACAAAACATGTCACCACTTAATGAGGTACTAACCTGATTTAAAACCGAGATGTTTATAACACCTACCGAATGTAAACACATAGACGCCTTCCTTACCTGCGCTTCGGTGATGTTTCTGAATCACCCATCTTTTACTTCTGGGGAAAAACAGAAGAACAAACTGTAAGCGGCGCTTCATTGTTTGAATTTGCGGATGCTCTCACAATATAACTTGCCTGAGTCTGATATCGAGAGAAGTAGACCATACTTCTAAATATGGCTTTGGTTTGGTTCACAACTGAATACATGTGATACGTCTACACGAATGTTTCATTTTCTATATGATTTCAATTTTACTTTCTTCAAATGCTGGCGTTAAAACCAACTTGTGTGATGTCATGAAACCAAAAGATCTGAGTTTACGGATAACACCTGTTACTTTCAGTGGCTTCCATCTCATCTGAAAGGAAACGAAAACTAGCTCCCGCTCCCTTTTCAAGAACCAGGGAGGGGTGGGTGGAATACCTTTTTAATTTTGCATGCTTTAGTGACCTTAACAGTCCCGTGTAGTCATAGCCTTATTCGTTTGCACCACACATATGACCAATCAATTCTACCGAGAAAGAACCAAATACCTTCAAACACTGAACCAGACAGATATGGTCTTAAATTGATTAAACATAGACCATTTTCAAATACAGTCAACTCTCGCCTTGCGGACACCCTGCTATGTCGGACACCCCGATAATGCTAACAGCAGCTACCTCCCAGGCAAAAATAAATTATCGTTGTTTAACTGAAGTAAACTCCCGCTATTTCGGAGTCTCGCTGATGAGGACACTGACTCAAGGTCCCTACAGTGTTCACTGTAAATGGAGTTGACTGGACATTGAAACACTGAACGTTTTCACTCACCTGGTCAGCAGCTACAGAATACCAATTTCTTGGAATAAAAGAATTTTTTTACATCAGAAAAGTAGGAGTTCAATTCTTATAGGATTCTTTTTTGTACACCAACATGGCCGCCGTTTCAATGCTTTGTACACCAATATGGTCGCCGTGACATCATTCCCTTCCGTTTATAGTATTTGGAAGAGATTTTACAAAATTATTTTGTTACGTTAATTTGGAAAATATTATTACCTGGCATGAGAGTGGGTTTCGTATTCGTTTCAGTTGAATCTAGAAGCACGCCCAACTATTCCAGTAATAAGCGATTTGAGAATATCTTCCTTGTCTGTCGTTTATAGATCTCTACATGAGTGCTCATGAAACGTTGCCGAGTGAGATTCTCTTATCAGTATAATTTGACAGCTCTATAGTTTTGTGTCACGTCGAAATGAAACCTGTTTTCTGATTTTCTTTGTATAGAGCAGAAACATAGGCCGTTGCTACAAATGAATTTTGGTAATGCTGTTGTTAGCGGCAGCAGTTCTCTTCAGCAGCTGTGTTAGTTTGTATTGATATTTTTTCGGTTCCGTTATTCTGAGGCGGAAATTAAAATAACTAACCCTAAAGATGAATAAATTTTGAGTCGTCAACAGAACACTATAGTTACGACTGATATCTCGGTTCGGGTTCAGAAACATAATAGCATAGAAAACACATAGCAATGTCAAAAATAAGGACCTTAGACGGGTCTTGCTTTTCGAAACCGAAATAAAAGACGTTAGACAACAGGTACGGTTATCAAGCTCATTCTGTTCAATTTTAAGTATTCCTCTTGTCTTTTGAATTAAGTTAATTGCATAAGATGATTAAGATTAGTCTTTATTTTGTAGCCACTAGATGAGTGGTTTTCAAACGAGAGAATGCGTCAGTGGTAGAAATGGACTTGCAACTCATAAATACACTGAACCAAGTCACCTTTTTATTCGTTGCTACAGGCCTTCAAACGTTGGTTTAAAAGTTAGACGCATATCCAGATGAACAGGGTATAACTACCATTAATATGGCCAGACCTGCTTACAGTTAGGAACGACTTGTAAATGTATTTCACCGTGCTAGCTCAAAACGGATGTCAGTCCTGCTATTTTTAAAGCATCCCGACTATGTTACTTCATAGCCTAAGCCGATTTTATTCAGTTGTTAAGTCCTAGGATAGATAGAAAGCAGCACAATCAGGACATTTGCTTACCTGATATCATTTTGTCAGTTGCCAGCCCCACTATACTACCAAACGGATCGACAGAAAGATTCTACATCAGCACAAAAACAGACGTGTTTGGGATGACGTATTCAGTCATAAATAAGCTGCAAGGGCGGTATGGTAGTTAACTATAATATATAAAAATCAAACTGCCCAAAAATAGAAAACTGTCATCCTGGCGAGACTGAAATGTCTTCATCACTTCTTTGCCGTTTCTGTTTACATTTCTAGATTTATCACTTTCCGTGAATTTTTTGACCTGTTTCCCAGTGCAAAGCAAGTAGGGCTCTGATCATTAGTCATCAAACACTAGTGTCTTGGAAAAGATATAGCATGGCATAAAATGGCGTGAATCATCTTAGAAGTTGATTACATGCCAGAATAAAAGTTTTGGCAGACAACTAACTGTGCAGTGCTAATATTTCCATTTTATGACAATCTGAAAGTATGGAAATTATCAATATGTGACTGACTAGGCATGACAAAAGAATCTTTGAAAAATTCTCTAAGACAAAGACAGGCCACAGAAGCAGTCAGTAGAGAAAACGCGCTTCAGTAATCATTCCCCAAGGCAAAACCGGGGAACCAAGTCATTTTTGAAGCTTCAATGTATTTACACATTCCCGAGGCATTGATGGCCATTGTTTTACAGCACTTCAATTCTTTTATTAATTACATCTAAATCAACACTGCTGTTTCCGGTTTAAAAACTCGCTTGCTCATTTGTATAAAGCACGAGCTGAAACGGTTGCAACAACTGAATTTTGACATGAGTCAATTATGATACTGCTCTCATCGGCAGTAGTTCTTACAGCAGCCGAGTTAAATTATATTTTTGGATATTTGCGCAGTTATTTTAAGGCTGGATTAAAAAAAGCCGATGTTAAAACTGTGTTAAGCCAAAAAAAAAAAACTTTAAAATTACCAGTTTCTTGGCTTGGATTCAGAGACATGTCTGCAACGTCAAAGACTGGTTTAGCGTTTCGAAAATAAAATACAAGGCATCAGACATTACAGTTTTGATTATCAAACTCATCTTGCTCAACAGCTTTTACTGTTTTGAATTTTGTTTCAAATTAAGGGGCGGACCATTAGAAAACTTATCGGGGAGGGGGGGCGAATTACAAAAAAATTATTCGCGCAAGGGAAAATTAAGGGGAAAAAAATTCATGCACGCCAATTAACCCTAAGAAATATTCATGCTACGGCCTAAGAAAAATTCATACAAGGAATTTGATAACGAAAAAAAAATCCTGCGACTCGAAAATTCCCCACCCACGCATAACATTTGTAATGGTGCTTCCCTAAGTTGATAGAGGCAAGTAAATGATGGGTTGTTTAAACACAAGAAGACGTGTTACTCATAGCGATTGACTTACAAGACAAGGCACATTCATGGAGCCGTGTCTGTAACCGAGCGGTTAACACCTCGAACTCCGGATCAGGAGGTCCGGTGTTTAAGTCACGCCCGTCACGTAGTTTCCTTAGACAAGGAACTTCACTCCACTTGGTCTCTCTTCACCCAGGTGTATAAATGGATACCGACGACATACCGCAGGAGGAAGAGGGGGGGGGTAACCCTGCGATACTTCTAGGCATACTTCATGGAAACCGGGATAAGCTCCGTTTGTTTGGGCCTTTGGCTCGTGTGCCCCTTTGGCCTTTTTTTTTTAAATCTAAAAAAAGACTGTCCATGATAGAAGTAGCATAAAAAAGGTGCTTTGCCTCTGCTTTGCTGAACACACTCCATTTACCTGTACTTAATCCTCAAAGCAGAACAGCTCAGGACCAAGTAAATAATAATGCTTCAAAAATGAATTAAACACAAGTTTTCATTGAGTTTTTTAGTTGGAATATCCCTTAGAAGGGAACTGTAATGTAGAACTTGTGTTCGGAGCAGTGGTCGCCTGCGTTCTCAGGACACTTCATTCTTAAAAGTATTTTACTTCTGTTAAGATGATATAATCAGCATGTCACGGGCGTGGGACGAAGAAAAAATCTGAGTCCCCGACAGGATTCGAACCTATGACCTCCCAAACACCGGGCAAGCGCTCTATCCTCTCTCTATCCTCCGCTTAAAATGTTCCATCTCTCATTCTTTCACTGTGCAGGAGGATCTCGTCATTGCTCTAGCAGTATGCAGGACGCGTCAGTGTCAAATAAGGACCTAGTATATGGCCTCGCTCTCCATGAGTTCTCCGTAGCTCACGAGCGCCTGCCAAGTGTTTGGGAGCTCATAGGTTCGAATCCTGTCGGGGACTGAGATTTTTTCTTTGTCCCACACTCGTGACATGCTGATTATTTCATCTTCACTATGATTTTTTCACCGATCTTAAAGTTTACCATCTTTCATTCTTTCACTATTTTCATTCTATACTGAAATATATCTAACTTCTTATCGGTGGCCTTTTTCTGCAGACCTACTGTACGAGAGCTTCAATGGTGTTAACTGTCAGTCGTCAAACGAAAGAAAATTAAACCGTCAACCGTCAAAAATGCAGATTAATATTAACTGTCAAAAAGTTTTAAGGTATTTCAAATTTCGTTATTTCAGCTGATCTTCACGGACTTCTGGCTCCTCAAGAAACTCTAAACTGGACAACTCTGAGTTCCCAAGTTCACATACTCTCTAGACATTACAAGGCTTCTAACTTGCTTATATCTGAAAATATTTCGAAATTTTAAAAGCAAAGGCCAAGAAGACTTCGAAGACACAAAAGTTGATATTAGTCTATACAGAAATTAATGTTTACTTAAACTCTTGGACTAAATTTCTACTAAATAATCGTCAACTGTCAGCTGAACCGTCAAAGCTGCCAGCCCATTGAGACCCTCCTGTAGTTATTTTAGGCCCGGTGACTGTGTAAAGCATGGCTACAGAAAGCGAAAATATATCATATCAACAACCGTCAATTACTTCATACAGATTATAACTTAGTCTTTTACTAGCACAACACTTCATTCTCTTGCATTATAATATTAAAAGAGAAAGAAGAAAGA